TAAGGATTCTGGCAACGGTTAGAATTAGTTTTACTAGAGTTATGCTTGGGACTAGGATCGTCAGGTTTGGGCTTTGGTTTGGGTTTGGGGTTGAGGCTAGGACTTGGCTGGAAGTAACGGTGGGGTCCGAGTTTTCTTTAAACACTTACGGGTTAAAGCTATTTCATTGAAGTCATGACCGTGGTTGTTGTTAGGTTAGTAGCTAACTACGATCTCCCCAAAAGACGTTGCATACCAAACCCTTGCTGCGTATATGGATGCAGGATTTTACTTACACGGAAAATATGCAGCTTGTACAGTAGATGTGCTAACTCATGAAATGCCAACCAAAATTTCGAAATGCGTTCTGGTTTCGAAAAGATAAATTGAGTAGTGTTGTAAAACTAGTCAAGATGTAGCATAAATCTATAATGATCCAGTTACGGCAGGGTGTCGGCTTTAGAAAGAACTTATTTTCGGCTGCATGCGAGATCTATATTTTGCAAAAATGACTACTTAATTAGCATGCAATTTTCTCATTGATTTTCGATGCCCTTGAAAATTCAATTATATTTCATGGAAAACATGTATAAAAATAGTCATTCTTTTACTAATTCGGTAGAACATTACGTCTTCTTCCTAATTCTACACTCGAAGGAGGAGCATAATTGGGTTTTAAAAAACTTTTCTAATTCCCGAATAATTTTGAACCCGACCTGCTGGTACACTTGCATTCAGGGTTTCAAAACTACAGGCTGCATATTTTCCGTGTACGGAAAACCACGCATTTCTCTACGGCGTTAAGAGGAGATCATATGAGGTCCATAAAAGTAAGCAGTGGATTTGAGCAATATTGTTAACTTTACAAGCTACGTTCGTAAATGCAGATACATGACGTTTCATGAACGGCCATTTAACGGTGTTAAAAAAATCTCACAATAAGAAACTTTTTTAAAACCGAATTTTACTCTTCTTTTGAGTATGAAATTGGAAGAAGACGTGATTGTTTACCGAATAAGTAAAAGAATGAATATTTTTATGCATGTTTTCCATGAAATATAATCGAATTTTCAAGGACATCGAAAATCAATGAGAAATTGCATGCTTTTTAAGTAGTCATTTTGTGAGAGTATAGATCTTGCATGCAGCCGAAAATAAGTTCACTCAAAAGCCGACACGCTGAGGTAACTGCTTTATTATAGATTTATGCTGCATCATGATTAGTCTTACAACGTTACTTAATTAATCTTTTCGAAACGAGAACGCATTTCGAAATTTTGGTTGACATTTCATGAGTTAGCACATATACCGTAGTTTGGAAACCCTGGATGCAGGTGCAGCAGCAGGTCGAGTTCAAAATTATTCGGGAATTCAGCAAGTTTTCCAAAACCGAGTAGCACTGCTTCTTCAACTAAAACATTTAAAATGGACCTTATCTGCTTCCAAACCAATAGAAGAGTGAATATTTTTTTGTGTATCTTTTCTATAAAAAATATTTGAATTTATGAGGGCATCAATAATCAAGGGGTGAAATGCACGCTATTTAAGTCGGAAAGAAGCTCGTTCAAAAGGTGCAATCTCGACGTTGAAGAGCAGAAACCCTCGTAGTTGTGCCATACAGCGGCAGAATATCAGTGAAACACGCGTGGCTGGGCTTTTAGCGAGTACCTGTGCTGCCAATATGGTATCCCAAAAAAGTACAATCCTCATTGAGTAACCTTTTCGATGTCCATGGCGAGTAGGTTTGGCTATTCCGGCGGTCTTAAGTCTGAACGCTGGACTCCGAGAATTGGTTAAGGCTGGGTGGCCGTCTTAGGGGGTTGTTGTTTATTGCTACCCGCTATAATGGAACAGCCCATGATGGGACTTGGGGAGAAATGCTTGTCTGGCCAGGCTTTTTCGACTTCGAAGGCGCACGCGAGAGGTATCAGCGTTGAATTGAAAAAAGGAAGAGGGGGGGGGGGTAGAGCAATGAGTTCGCGCCATGAATGGGTCAATTAGACGTCAGCATTAAAGCAGGCGTTGGACGCCTACGGGCGTGGGCAGGCAGATGCGGTGTGGATTCGGCGACGGCGGTACACCTCGACAAGGAACTGGCAGACCCAAGCGAATAGCCAACTACAATGCGCCCGTCTATACGAAGGTGGGGGGGGAGGGGGAGGAGTGACCAGTTATGGCTAATCCGCAGTCGTCAATCGACCCAATCTAAATTCCAGGCTGCAATCACCGTGAATTACTAGCTTATCATGTCAAAAATGGCTGCCAGAAGCCCAGCGACCGCCCGAGTGGGATCTAAATTCACACTTCTAACCTAGAACAGAACTGCATACTGCCAACAGAAGCGAAGAAACGAGTCCAAGGAAGTAGTCTTGAAGAAAGAGACACGATCGCTGGGACAAGAGCTTTATTAGCCTGACATTTCGGATTCCTGCTCGAATCCACCATCAGAGACAAAAAAGCAAAAACGGGTGGTTGTTGCACAAGGGGCTGCGGTATTTAAAGGATGCAGTCGCTATGCCACCGCACGCCTATGAAAATTCACGGCTCCCCCCTTCATGCGGGATCGTCGCACTTGGTGCGATGGCCGACATTAGCGTCGTTCATTGCTGCAATTTCATCACGTTTACTGGATGTTGGTGTGGTGATTACTCGATCATCTGACCCACCGATCCTAGCGTTAGGAACAGTATTCACCTGTGCGCTTTCCACATGGCCAACTACTCATTCTAGGCGAAGTCTCAGCACCGAGTATGAAAGGGGAAGGTACATAGTTGAGCTTATTAATGGACTGGGGGCCAGTAAACCATGACTCAAGTAGCTCCCGGCTCACGCGGTTGTCACCTCTTGCGAGAATTTCGGCCTCGTCGAATTTGAATGTATGGCCGGATCTCGTCGAATGAGCCGCAACTTGAGAGCTGGCGTCCGCGTTGCAGCGTGTTCGGCCACTCGCGTTCGGAGCTGTCTTCCGGTTTCTCCGACGTAGCTGGTTTGTCCGCAACTGCACCAGATCCGATAAAAGACTCCAGACGTTTCTCGTCGTGGCTGTGGGTCTTTCGGTTTCATTACCTGACGCCCGAACTCACTAGAAGAAACAACATGGAGTCGAGAGGAGAAGTTAGGACATTGACTGAGCAGTGTTGACTGATATGCTGGACTGAGCACCTTATTTGCTCCAGTATCTGGATGACGGTTGACAATAAAGCAGGACTGACAATTCAGTAACCCTGATCTTTATCAGTAGTTTCTCCGGGAGCCAGAAAGGGTTGAACTGTTGTTTGTACACTTCTCACCTGCGCTGAACACTGTTTCACCAAGTCTCAGTGGGTCTATTTGGGAATCATTTGCTGCCTGAGACGGCGTACCTTGCCTCAGTATTCTCCTCTGCAAAAACCGGCAACATTCAAATCGTGATGACGAGCTCTTGGTTTAATCACACACTGACTTCTAAAACCCGATTTTCCCACCTTTTCGCAATTTTAACCACTCTTTAGATTCCCTCCATGTACGCATGAGACTTAACAACGCAAGTAACTGGACGCTTTTATAATCCCACGCGTATATTCGTTTTTGCCATTACTTATCAAGGCAATTCAGTATTATATAAGGGGACTACAGGGAGTCACTGCGCTTGCCGAATATTTTAATTCAATGTACTTGACTTTAGGTGTGAACTGGAAAATTTGGAAACCGTGTACTACTGCTCCTGAATCACCAGCCTTCCCTTTTACTCTTCCTTCTTTTCTTCAACTCCCCCTTCTTCTACTTCGCCTCCTTCATCTCCCCCTCCTCCTCCTCCCGCTTTTTTTCTTCCTCGTCTATCTCATCAGCATCAGCACGATCATCGTCATTACCATCACAACCATCCTTTTATTGGGCGTTAGTCAATATTAGCATTATTGACGGCGCTTAACTACAGCCATCACGAGGGCGTTCCCTGCGGCGAATTTACGCGTATGCTTCACAAACTCTCCCCTCCTACGTTTGGGAGGTATAGACAGACTACCTTTGGAGGCCACATCAATATGCATTTGCTCATCCACTTGCTCTTGTAGAGCTGGATACATCCGCTGCACAAAGAGACGCCTGGTAAAGAGGGTGCGTGAACACATGCCCGCCTGGCTAGACAGAGGTGAGACCGGATCGGTTTCGAGTTCTATTCTCGCACATTTAATCAATACGGATCACCAAGTCGATGCCAAGGAAGCATTTCAGGTTGTCTATCGGACACCAACATGCTTCTCTAAAGGCCTACGCCAACGGATACTAGCAACAGCCGAGGCAGTGGCTATACGGCTAGCGAATCCGGTGTTATGCTGTCAGAAAACCCTGACACAAGCGCTCTCTGCCGTGGCCAACGCCAACCTCACGTGATGACGACATACCGCCTCAAATCCCTAATTACAGTGATGGCTACTCCGTGTAATCAATCCAAGAGCATCACTCAAAGACACTCTTACCCCCCTCCCCTAGCTCTGAGGACCAAAATCCGCTGACCTTGTCATGGGGGGCGGGCGTGGGGAAAATGAGTGTTAGTGACTTAATAGCCCTTGAGACGCCTATAAACACTGTTGCTTTTGTACATTTTCATTCCTTCATATAACTGCATTGTCCTGACGAAGAATTACCGAAACTACGTGTTTTCCAACTTGACTTTTCAAAAAATATTATTGTCTCCCTGTCCTTTTAGTTTGTGAAGCTGCGTACCTTCCTAGTCAGTTCTGTATTTGTACAAATAAACGTCTGGTGAGAGTCTACAAGGCAAATGGCGGCTACTCACAGAATGTGCCTGAAAGTACCGCAAAGGCATCGACACGGCAACACCGCCTTTGTTTTGTGAAGTTCGCCGAGACCCGCTAGGTGAAGCCAGACCTAGGGAACGTGCCGTATTTCTGGCACGTTCTGAGAGGTCTCAAAGCGTGCGCAGTCAGTTATAACGACGAATGTGGGAGGATGGCGCACGCTGGAGCGGCAGATAAAAGCCAGAGATCGAGTAAAACCGCCTACGGTGAACGTACTCCATCATGATCAATCTACTGTCGGTTCTGTTTCTCGTGCTGACGGCCGAGGCTGCATCATGTAAGTTCGTCTATCGAATAATCATCTCTTAAGGCACTGAGTGATTTTATCTTCTCGCGTCAGAATGCTTTTAGTTCATACGAAGCCGTATGTCCATTAAATGACATAAGTAATTTAGCCAAGAGGACCTGACATCATTTGAACATCTGTGCTTCACAATAGGAATCATTTTGAAAGAGGAAGTTTAATTGGAATTTTATCCGCTAACGGGTTACCAGCATCATATTTGCGTAACTTAAACGCGTTTGATTTCCAGACATTACTACGAAATGGGTTTCACAAAAAACTGACCGTATATGACAGTGATGCGTTAAAAGTGGGAAGCTCTTCTCGCGTAATCAGCATCGGTACACAGTGGGAACCGATAAAACTCCATCTGTTCAATTTTTATGCTCACTGGTGTTTGAAACAGGCATACACTGCAGACTTCCTCGGAACTGACAAATATGGCACAGTAAGTGGACTAACTCATGAAATGTCAACTGAAATTCCGAAAATAGTTTTCGTTTCGAAAGGATTAATTAAGTAGGATTGTAATATCAACCATCCTGCATCGTAATTGTATAATAAATCCGTTAACTCAGAACGCCGGTTTTCGAATGAACTTTATTCCTGCTGCATACAAAATGAATACTCTGTAAAAAACGACCACCTAAGTAGCATACATTTTTCTCATTGATTTTCGATGCTCCTAAAGACTCAGTTATATTTCATGTAGAACATGCATAAAAATATTCATTGTTTTACTCATTCGGTAGAAAATGACGTCTTCTTCTTAACTTCATACTTTGAGGAAGGGTATAATTCGGTCTCCAAAAGTTTATAATTGTGAGATTTTTTAACACCGTGAAATGGCCTTTCATAAAACGTTGTGTCTGAATTTACCAATAAGGCTCCTAAAGTCAAAAATATGGCTCAAATCCACTGCTAAGTTTTATGAAACCCCTATGCTCTCTCTTTATACCGTAGAGAAATGTATAGATTTCCATAAGTGAAAAATATACGGCTTGTAGTTTGGAAACCCTGAATACAAATGTAACGGCGGGTCGGGGTTCAAAATTATTCGGGAGGTGGAGAAGTTTTTGAAAACCGAATTATACCCTTCCATCGAGTATAAAATTGGAAGAAGACGTCATTTTCTATCAAATGAACAGAATAATCAATACTAACTGCATGTTTTCCATGAAATACAGTTGGATTTTTAAAGGCATCGAAAATAAATAAGAAAAATGCATGCCGCTTAAGTAGTCATTTTCTACATAGTGTGGTTTTTGCTTGCGGCCGGGAAGAAGTTTATTTGAAAGCCGGCATTCTGAGGTAACTAATTTATTATAGAATTACGATGCATGATAGTTGATATTACAACCCTACTTAATGAATCTTTTCGAAACGAAAGCGCATTTCGGAACTTCAGTTGACATTTCCTGAGTTAGCCCACCTACTGCATATTGTACGTTAGAATGAAGATCAGATGTTAGCACACTTTGAGTGGAACCTGCTTTCGTCAACGTCAAATACGGATTTAACCATAAATCCCAACACCCGGTAAAACAAATCTCATCCTGTTCATTATGAGATGCTGTTTTTGAGAAACCAAGTAGGCCCACAGATTTAGTCGCTAGGGTGACCTCAAAAATACTTTCTTCAACTCTAAATCGTAATGCCACACCCTAGTGCGGCGGCTGTTGGGGCTCGAGAGAGAAAGTGAGGTAGAGAGTCCCATGGTACAACGGGGTGAGAGAACGAGCTCCGCGACGCGATCAGTGAGCGCTCCTCTATCAAACCCTGGTTCATTTGCCCACCTCTTATTATTGATTGAAGTTGATTGGCAGAGTGCCAGAGGGGTACAGATGTTCTATCGTGCATGTACTAAATTCATTTGCCATTTATGGAAATATATTTTTTTCTGCATGTAAGGTTCGTGAAACCAGGGATGGTGGTAGGTTCAGTGGTTACAGGAACCTATTATAATTACCCAAGCAATGCCTGATATTGTTCAAGAGCTCACGACAGTATTCAGTTTGTCTCAGCTCATAGCGCATAATAAACAAAGGCTTGTTTCAAATATGTCCAGGACGCAATACATTGCTTGTGGGGCAGGAGGACTATGTCTACTTGGTAAAAGGCCTTAGACACTAGGTATGAGAAATGATTCCTACTTTTATCAAACACCAGCTGTCCTTAGAATTCCAGATTTTTGGAGAACTTCGGTAGGTAGGTGCGCGCCAAATTTCATTCAGCCCACAAAGGTGACTCATTGCTTTGTTCAATTTCCGAGAAAATTAATACGTGAACTCGGCATAAATTCTTCGCAACAGGCCTTCTCATGCACGGTCCAAAAGTTGATATGAGTACTTGAGCTGAAACCCACCAGCTACTGCGGAGTAACCGCGTAATATTCACAAACCATCAACAGGCAGCCAGTAGTATACAACTGTGTGATTATTTACCGTACTGACAATATAGGTACTAGCTAAAAGCCCAGACACGCGTGTTTCGTCGATCTTGTGCCGCTGTCTGAATTAACCGTGAAGATTCCGGCTCACCAGTGGGTCTCCTAACCTTCTCTGTGTGTTTTCTGGTAGATGATCGTCAGGCAGCGGCACAAGGTCGGCGAGGCACGCGTGTCTGGGTCCTTAGCTAGTGCCTGTGTTGTCGTTGGGATAAATAATTACACCAGGGTTGTTCTACAACCTTCCTGATATCATGTTATTTCGGCACTTTGATAGGTAATGCAACTTTCATTTGGCTCCAGTCCCGTCTTGGTCCTTCTGTCATGCCAAAAGTTACCACACCCTGACAAAACCTTTACTGAGGGGGGGGGAGGGGTGCCGTAGACCCGTAATAAACAGCTCATCACACACTTCTCTGCTCAGGTGTTCCTTCAAGGCGCGACGCCTAGTGACGTCAATAACTCCCATGCACTTCTGTTGACAGTGCTCCAGCGCAGACTACGTACTTTTTGTAGGCGTTTTTCGTCGCTTTTTAATTTCCTCAGAAAATAACTACAAACTTGGAGCAGATCAGTTTATCCAGGGTCTAGAGGCGCGGACCGAGAATTTTATGCATGAATATTTGGACCGAAGTCCATCGGCAGTTAATGAATATTACGCGGTTACCCGCTGTGGCTGATGGACTTCGGCCCAAATATTCATGCATAAAATTCTCGGTCCGCGCCTCTAGACCCTGGATAAACTGATCTACTCCAAGTTTATATTTGATTTCTGAGGAAATTGAAAAGCGACAATTTCTAAATTGGAGTATCTACCCGAAAACACACGGGGAATGCTGGGGGACCCACTGATGAGCCGAACCCCTCGCAGCCGCGCGATGCAGCGTCAGAATATCGGCAAAACACGCGTATATGGGCTTCTAGTTAGTACCTGTGTTGCTGGTATGGTATCAGCTTACCCTAAAATTTCGATTGAGTAGTTCAGTCATAAGGCGCGTACGATTGCGAATCAACGTCCGCTTGGTCGCAACCTCGTATAAGTAGCCTATTCGTCCGAAGACGGAAGTAGACTTCGGTGAATTTTTTATGAGTTTAGGCACATGCTGTCGAATGTAAGCCCAAGAAGTTTCGCACAAATTAATATGCAACCCCGGAGTAGCATAGTGGTGAGAATTCACGTCGATTCCGATCCCGGAGCTAGACTATCTAAACTGAATCGCATCAACTTCAGTGAAGTAGCAATCTGGAATGCTTGGCTTCATTTGCAAGTTCTGTGCATAATAAGTATTTCCAGTATACAAAAGCTGAAATCGCTGACAAGTGCTCCACTGATTTTCCGTTGCCGAGGGTTTGAATCGAGGACCAGCTCGTGGATTTTACGGTTACCCTGGAGATGCCTCATGGTGTTCATGAAACGTTGCAACACAGAGCAGTTCGGCCGTCGTTGCTGACGATGTCCACAGCGTGCTTCATAGCAGGATGGGAGCAGGGACGTTGACTTGCGCGTCACTAAGCTTATAGCGGTTTGAGACCCGCACTGCATCTACCGCACTCTCTTCTCCTGTCCCACCAGTGTTTTGTGTCTCGAGGAGATCCGAGGCGGGAGAGGACGCAGCTGGCCGGCACGGCGAAACGCGCACCTGCGCGTACCACCACACCACCTGGCCAATAACGCACGCTTACTACCATTGTAACCACCAATAAAAAAAGGGGAGACGGCTTGGAATCCAGATGGGGCTCCGTGAGCCTGAAACGGATTGTGTCACCACAACCCAAAGTATTGACATTTGTTATGGATTCGCATCCCCGATAACGCCTGCCGGGCTCCGATCTAGTCTCTCTGTGTTGGTCCAGTACGTCTTCCGCGTGACCCGTTTTTGGGGCATACATCGTGAGCAGTTGCAAGAAATCCTAAGACCAGATTTTTCACGAAAAAGCTCAGGCGTAACGCCTAAAATAACAGGAGAGCCTTGATAAGTTCGGCGAATATTCCCATGTTACAATTGAAAAGTCAAGTTGGCAAACACGCGTTTTCGGTAACTCTTCATCAGGCCAAAGCGATGACATAGAAGTTTAAATTATGCGAAGTTACAGGGCTTGTAAGGGATTCAGGGACTATTAACACCCATCGTTTTCATGCCAATCATGCTACAGCCGAGGCAGTAGCTATACGGCTAGCCAGTCCAGTGCTATGCTGTCAGAAGACTCTGACACAGGCGCTCTGTCTTCCGTGGCCAACGCCGACCCCAACGTCGCCCCAACCTCCTGTTGGCAGTGGTGTGTGCACAACTTACCCGATGTACAAACATTACTCACAGCCCTTGTCCTCCTCTCCCTCGCCCCCCTTGACCCAATGACCGTGACACACCGACCACACCATAGTACGTCTCGTCATGCGAGTGGCGTGGGAACGATGATTGGCATGGGAACGATGGGTGTTAATAGTCCCTAAATCACTTGATAAATTTAGCGTGCTACCTTGTTGACAGCATAAGTTGGAAAATATATATTAAATACGGACAACGGTATAGAGAAGGACCCCACTTAACCCTCAGTAGACTGTGGATCGTGCTATGCGTAATTTACGGTAAAGTAAGTTTAATGGGAGGAGGGGGGGCAGCACGCCAGAAAGTAAGCAGACAAAATGAAAAAAAAACACAAAAATTGCCTGAATTTATGCTGAAAGTCTTGTCAAACGCTATTGTACGACAACGGAAATGAGAGTAGTAATTAACGATAAACAAAAGTCAATTTCACTAAATAACGGATTACGAGTTAAGGTATGAGGTCGGAGGGAAGTAATCATTGTTGGCAGTGTAGTTTCTGCAACAGCCTGCAAATGTATGCCAAAATAAAACCCCATATGACACGGTCCACAGCAGTTAAGTGGGGTGCTTCTCTGTACCGTTGCCCAAATACGCAAGCAGCGACCATCGTCAAAAACCTTTTGGACATACTATCTGTAGGCTTGGAATTTATCGCCTGAAGCAGCTGCGTCATTTTATTAGGAAGAAGAATTGACTGAAATTGCCGAAAAGTGTAGTAATTGAGGCGTGGCGCCCAGATAAGTCCTCGAAAACATGCTCAGGGATAATAGACGTCGGCACGCTTGTGTCCCATGCGATTATATAATACTTAACTGACTGGATTATAACTCCGTAAACATCCGAGGTAATTCTGTTCATTTTTTGATCCACTACTAACAGACAGGTCAGTTAGGATTCTTAATAAATGCGGTTATGTGACGTCATCGTACTTTGGCAATTTACTGCTTCCTTTGCATTCTTTACCTTTAGACATACAAGGTGGCAGTGGAGTGACCAACAGTATTTCAGACACTGAAATAGACGTGAGTTGGGTCGCCGGCTCCAGCAGTGGATCTGTTAAAGCCAACTACGTGACTGCGCTGCTATTGGGTGGCGGTGGCGTAGTGGCCAAGGAAACGGTCTCCGGCGCGGCCACGCAGTGCACTTTGCGTGGACTGACACCCGGAAGTTACTACAGCATCTACGTCCAACCACTCTACTCGGCGGCCACTTCCGGTAGCAATGAAGAGCTCGGAGAAAATGTCAGAATTGGAACTTTCAAAACTTTGGATGCAAGTGAGTAGGCTTTCTCATGGAGGGAAGGACACACAATTATCTGTTCCGACAGCAAGACGGAATACGTTGGTTTGAGTATCATCACGGAGCTGAGGGTCTGCGGATGGTTACGTGGCGGCTGACACTATGCAAGCTGCATTAGACCGAAGCCAGATAAGCCCATTTGTTCGAACAAATTAACAATGAAGAATGCAGTATTCTGAGTACGACTCAAGTGTCAGCCGCAATTTACACGACCGTGAACATTTTTTATGTATAGGACGGTATTGAGACTGCGGCTGTTACCTTTAAGTTGTGCCCTAAGGGGAACATGGTCTTGACAGGTACAGTATTATGCTGCTGGGAACGCAGTGGATCGGCTGACGGCTGTCAGATTTCCTGGTCTTCCTTAATCTTGCTGAAAGCATGCACAGGTCTGGATCGATAGGACGCAAAAATGTAATCCACATTCGCCTTGAGCCGTTAACTGCGAGTGCGCTACTGATCATCCAAAGGGCGTCTGCCGCGCTTTTGTTTCAGATGGCCAGCACTGATGCGCTTCCCTTGCGATTGGGCTTGAAAAAGCGTCAACGTCAAGCTGAGTATTGTATTAGAGGGCAGAATAAAAATTAGCAGGCAGTTATTCACGCAAAGTTGGTCGAGGTTGGAAACGGCGATATGCATGTCAAGATGACAGAGGAACTATAACGCCTTGTGCATTCTTAATTAAAAGCATGAGTACAGGGAGTGACCGATCTCATAAAATGTTATCCGAAATGCTTTTCCGATTAGGAAGGATTACTTAGGTGGGGTTCTAATACATATTATCTTGCGGCATAATCCTATAATTTTTCAGCTCGACAGGGTGTCTGCTTTTGAACGCACTATTTTTCAATTTTCTGTAGGAACCGTGCTCGTTAAAAAATGACTGCTTAAGTAGAGTGTACTTTTCATATTGACTTTCGATGGTTTTATAAATTTAACTATATTTTATAAAAACACGAAGAAGAATATGCTTCTTTTCACTCGTTTAATGGAGAATCACGTAGTTTTTATAGTTTATACTCGAAGAAAATGTATAATTAGGTGGTAAAAAGTTTCCAATCGTGGGATTTTTAAAACCATGCAATGTCCATTTATACAGCATCGTACCTGTATGTTTACCACTGCTGCTCATGAAATGTACAACATAGTCCGCATTCACTGCAAAAATTTATTGACTCTATGTGATGTCTTTTTTAAAGACAAAGAAGAATAAATAATTTTCCTTACGTGGAACGCATGCACCATGCAGACAGAAATCACTGAGCGCTAATGCAACGGCTGATCAGGCTCCAAATTATCCGCGAGTCATACCAATTTTTTAAAACCTTATTAGACTCCCTCTTCGAGTAAACACATTTGAAGAGGACGTAATTCTCTATCACACGAGTGGAAGAAAGCTTATTTTTGTTCATGGTTTCTATAAACTATATTAGACGTTGTAAGACCACCGAAAATCAATATGAAAAGTGCTCGCTACTTACGTAATAATTTTTTTACAGAGAACGGTTTCTACAGGAGATTGAAAAGAAGTGCATTCAACAGCAGACATCCTCTCAAGTCCGAAATATTATAGGATTATACTGCAAGAAAATATGTAATTAAACCCCACCTAAATAATCCTTCCTAATCCTTTCATGAGATCGGTCACTCACTGTATAGCCCTCTGATATACAGTGCGTGACCGATCTCATGAAATATTAGCCAAGATTCTGGAATGCGTTTCCGATTAGGAAGGATTGCTTAAGTGGGGTTGTTATAGTGATTATCAAGCAGAATAATCCTGTAACATTTCGGACTCGCTAGGATGTCCGTTTTTAAATGCACTTCTTTTTGACCTCCGGCAGATACCACGCTCGGTAAAAAATGACTACTTACGTAGCATGAATTTTTCCTATTGGTTTTCGAGGACCTTATAAACGCAAATATGTTTTATGGGAAACATGCACAAAAAATGCTTTCCTTTGCTCAGTTGGTACGAAATCAGACTGTGTTCATATTTTATGCCCGACGAAAATGTATTTTTAAGTTTTAAAAAGTTTTTAAACTATGAGATTTTTAAGACCGTGCGATGTCTATCCATGCAAGACCGCACATGTACGTTTACTTATGCTCCTCATGAAATGTAAAACACAGTCCGGATCCACTGCGAAATTGCACAAACGCTATGTGGTATCATCTTAAAGGAATAGACTAATATATGATTCTCGTTACACGGAAAGCATGCACCTTGTAGGCTGAAATTGTGAAACGCTGAGCCAATGGCAGATCAGGGTGAAAATTATTCGGGAATCGGGAAACTTTTTTAAAACCTAAATATATACTATCTGCGGGCATAAAATATGAAGATAATGCGATTTCCGTTTAAATGGGCAAAAGAAAGCATATTTTATGCATGTTTTCTGCAAAACATATTTGAATTTACAAGATCATCAAAAATCAACGGGAAACGTGCATGCTACTTAAGTAGTCATTTTTTTCGAGTGTCGTATCTGCAGGATATGCATTCAAAATCCGATATCCTGGCGAGTCTGAAATGTTATGGGGTTATGCTGCATGATAATCAGTATAACAACCCCACTTAAGTAATCCTTCCCAATCGGAAACGCATTCCAGAATTTTGGCTAATAGTTCATGAGATCGGTCACGCACTGTTTGCTAATTGCGCTTGCGCGCGTCCTTCTAAACAAACATACACGACGTTTTCTACTTTAGGTAAGTCGCCGGCAACACTGATAATTGGGATCTTCTGCGGCATTGTGTGCGCTATCTGTCTGGTCCTCGTGGTCATGATATTGAGGCTGAAGAAGCAACAGAAGGACCATACTCTGGATAAGAATCTCGCTAATGCTTACGTAAGTCTACTTTTTAAATAACACGCAACTGGCATTACTATACTACTATTTCCAGAACAAAAACCAGGATAAACTTCCTGTATGTTTTTGCATATCCGTTCGGACTAGAAGGTAACGATTCCGTACTCAAAGCGGACAGTCTATTTCAGACAAACTTAACCTGCAGAAACTGCGCACAATAGGCTAATTTCGGAAAAGCAACCACTCCTCAAGGCTGCGGACTACGTAAATGCAGAAAAATATATGACTTAATTTAGAGTCCAACTGCCGACCTACTTAATTCCGTATGCTGTTGTGTCACCTCAATTCCCGACGACCGCCGTCTGAAAGCTGGTGATTTGAACGCGTTTCGTGATTGAATGAGTGTGCCTAGTCGTTTGAATGCACATATTTAATGGCCGCGATTTCATAACCGGTGACAACGATCGGCTAAATATTTACTCGGAAATCTGGCTTATTATTTTTTATCATCGGAAGCAATGCTCACCCGCTCGCTGCCCGAGCGGCTAGTTATCCTGCATAGCCAAATCTGAGCGCCAGATAGGTGTAATGGCAACGATGCGATTACCACACCTAACGAGAATGTTAGTCTTGTCAAAGTAGAATGTGTGATTGTGTTGCACAGAATGAGCCGCAAATGAAGAGTGGACGTTATCCTCTCAAACATACAGTACCTGTGCTAACTCATGAAATGTCACGAATTAACACAGGTTAACGCATTTAACGCAAAATCGGTAAACACTACGGCTCCCAAAGTCTGATAGCGGAAAATAAACGATGTGCCAAAGAAATAAAGCAAAGTTTGGTTTAGATAATATTATTTACTGAGGTAAAACAAATAATTTTCGACAAAAGTCACATTTTCGAGAAGCGCCTATATTACAACCAAGTTAATAAAGGCTACCTATGAGGACGTATAAAGGAGGATGGCGCATAAAAGGTCAAAAATAATTAAGGACAGAAACAGATACAAAAAATTAGTACTTTGTAGATTGTCCATTCGAATTAATAACAGCAGAAAGTCTGTCCGACATAGACATGACAAGGTTATCTATGGTGGATTGAAAAATGTAATTATTGAGTATGAAATCCAATTTTTCCTGCATTGAAAGAGTCTTCTTAGCTTTGTGCCAATTTCTTTTGACTATTCCAAAAAGATTTTCGATTGGATTAAGGTCGGGACTGTTGGCCGGGATGAAAATGGATTGGAGGCCAATTGCGGAGAGCGTGGTTGTTGTCTAAAATGTTAGATTATGTTTGCAAGCGGCATCAAATTCGTACCCCTTTAGAGCGGTGGACAGGTGCATTGTCCTGCAAAATTACAGTATCCATTCGGCGCCGACTTATGCCGTTGTAGCCGAAAGCATCCTTGACAATTGCAATGAACACCTTGCTGTTGATGGTGTCGGATGTTGACCGCCAGACAGGCCGCTCACCGAATTTAATCGCCATCCAAACCATCATCCGCCGACAGTTCTTGAATGTTGCCGTCGGTGTAGTATGTTCGTCCTTATTTCAACCAAATAAACACAAATAACGACACCAAAAATACACTACATTGTCCACTATAATTTTGACCTCGGCATTTCATGAGTTAGCACAGGTACTGTATACATCTCATGTGCGTCCGCCATCTTCGCAAATTGCTGTCTTTGATATGGGGTCAAAAATACACCCGAAAATTCAGAACAAATAAAGTGTCGTCTCGGCCATTGGATCTCCTTCTCAACTACTTCCTAGAAGCCGCCACTTCCAGTGTTGTTCTTTTTCAGCAAATAATACACCGCTTTTGACGACTTATACTTCGACTGCGGCTACGATCTTACCGAATCTGGAGGAAAGCGAAACTTATGTCCACCATGAGAAATGCTGGAAAAAGTAATTAGGATTTGACCAAACATAAGGCCTCAAAGTTTCGAGAACCTTTTGAAGTTTGAGAGACCAATGTGATGCCTGGGTTCCATAGTGTAAAATTAAGCCAACTTTCTCGTTCGCCATGGAAGGCGCATTGGACAGCAATCCTTTTCTGCCCGAGTGAATTCGGTGGCATATTAAACTAGCGAAAACAGATAATCAGACAAGCCTCGCATGGTGAGTGGCCCTCACAAAATCAGTTAACCACATGTACTTAAACTCTGAGTCTCACTAGAGGCGCAGGCAATATAAATATGACTGAATGACAACTCGCCCGTACTCGCTTTATTCAGAATTCATCTGTGAAGGCCCTAACATCCTATGTAAACAAAACTGATGTACACAAAACGTTCATAATAGTATTCTACCGTGCTCCTCCCCCTCCTCCCTCACTTTAGGACTCAGAATGCGCCAAGGATATGTCATCGACATATTCGGAGCCAGCCGTTAGAGCGGTTCCCCCGGCAAGTAGATCCCGGGCCCCAGTCAGTTAAACTGCAAAATGTTCGGTAGGTTGCATTACCTTCCGCCTCTATTTCACTCTATCTGATGCTTCAAAGGTCCACTTTGTAATTCAAATGCACGCCTGCATACAACATGCTGAAATGTCGACATCAGATTTGAAAACCGTTTCTTTTCGGATAACTGAAGGACTAAAGCATGGTTGAGGAGCCGATGAAACGGAGACACAGCCTGTGGAGTGATAACCTCTTCTACACCACATACTTTTATTTCGCCCTTCTGAACTCCTGTTCCCACACTCGGGCGGCAGTTTTAACTGGTTATAATTGTGGGGCATCCTGGGTTCAGACTGTCATCAGCAGATCGTTGCCAATAGGCCAGAAACGACCAACCAACTGTCACTGACCTTGGTTGCCGACACTTCTGGAAGATCGAGTAGCCGATTGACCGTCGCCAATTTATTTAGCTAACAGAAAACCCGCATTTCAGCTGTCACCTATATCATACCCGTTAAGACCACACCCAGATAAACGAAACCCCTTGATCTTAGTCTTCTGGACATAGCTCACTAGGTGAGCTTTGACATTGAAATACGGTGAGTGCCGGTTAAGCGGTCCACATTGAGCCAAAGTGTTTTGGATCTACTAACTTACTGACCCACATAAACTGAGTCACAAAGGGGCAGCATTCAGTAAGGGCTTCAAGAACGTCCGCATGCGAACATTTTCCCACGAGTTTTTGCGACGCTCCTTGACATACCACGAGCTTACTCAGAGATTGTCCTGGGACCATATCATATATGTGGTTGTGGAATATAACGTACCCGCTGTTTGAGCTAGTTACCGGGATCCAGGGTTCCGCCGGTCCAAACTTGCTACCCAGTGTAAAATATTTCACTCGAATCTTGATTTTGCAGAATGCAAACTAATGCCCTCCGTGAACTGAATTGCATTGACGTGGCTATGAGGGACAAACAGCCCTAGTCAGTCCACTAACTTGGTGCGGCGGTTAATTGGTAAATGTGTAACCGATGGAGTACGGTTTTGCCTAGCCCATTCAATTCCATCCAGAAGAAGAGAGTTCCTTACTGACGTGACTTTCATGAAGCCGTAAGAGGCTACTAAAACGTAAGGCGTGCGACTGAATATATGCACCGGATGAAATCTTTCCGTGGTGGTTGCAGTGACCATTGGCCCTGATCTGATTGTGCTTAAACTACGGCTCAAGGAACGGTATGAATTCTAGACACTTTTCGAGAATTCAGCCGTTTCCCTAAATGCTCCAAATATGGCGGGCTGCATCTCAGAGACAGGAGCAGTCACCGCTAATAATTGTGCATAATACAGGTAAATTGACGTAGAACTTTGTTTACATTTGCGAGACAGAGATAAGGCAGCGGGCACCACACGCCCTCTGTGTAAACGAGGTTTTCCATTTAATCAGAAAAGTGATATTGATCACCATAATTTCCCTCCAGAAGAGCACGATTAGGATCGCGCAATAACACACGTCACAAATGGGTCACTAGGATCAATAACCGTAGACTGTGTCTTCTCAAACCATCCAGGGGTGGGAGGATGCAATAGTGGGAGAGAGCCAACTTTAAAAAAATCAGAAAAGCAAAAGATTTCCTCAACTTTGCCAGTGAGTGGGTAGGAAGGCGTTTGTTTCACAGTGCCCAATGTTTTGACAAATCCGTCACTTCGAGATATTGAGAGCAACAGTAAGCAGTTCGCACCTGCCAGGCAAAATGAAAAACCAGTTCTGAGGTATCCAACCGCCCTAAATGCAGATGAGATGTCTGCTTTTTGGAGACATTGTAGAAACTCGTTTCGTAACACGGGCAGTAAAATGGCAAACACCACTAACACCCAAACACAAGTGGGTAGGCGAAACGGGTAATGTTTTGATTTCGGTAACAGATAACGGTATAAATTATAAGTCTAAATTACATAACGGAGTTATGTGTTTCCTTATAACAGGTAGTGCTGGACACTGTGATTATGCGTAAGTAAAGAATAAGCATTAATCAAAGAACGAAAGAATGACGGAGATAAAGGCAAATTATTTTGCATATTTGCACGCGGTTTTTTAAAAATCGAGAAAATATAATTATGTAGTTTGCTTAGAAAAGACATTCACATTTTGGCGGTTATATGCGCGCAGTAAAATACGACAGAAAGCGTGTAAAAGAAAGTTACAGTTGTCTGTACGGGACAAAGGGTGTATGAATCAGTAGAATATACTTTAAGTGGAAAAGACGAACAATTTTGCAAAAGAAGACATGCATCTGGACAGGGGGCATCTGTGTTCATCATTTCAGTTAAACGGACCTTGTGTGCAATATCTGCGTGGATTGAGTAAAAAGAAACCAACCGGTACATTCAAAGAAGCTTTTATTTTCCCATAAAGTTTAAGTCCCACCGAAGGAATAATTTGTCTTTTTTATAATTTTCAGCACCAATTCCACAGGCTACACCCAGAACGCAGATAGTTTACCTTCCAGACGAATTCATCCCCTCGGTAGCTTACTGGTCTGCTTTGGACAAATAAATTTCCACCGAATTGGCCAGAAGCACTTAATTTCTTGTTTTCACCAATATGACACACAAGATTCAATCAGCACTTGGAACTATGAGGCGCAGGGGTGAAAGAAGACTCAGTTGAGATCGGGGAGGTGGTTGATAAAAAATTTGAAGACGCTGTTTGTTTCCAAGAAACTTAAGGCTTTCAATCCGAAATCGGGGCAGACGAAGAGGAAAAGGGTGCAATGCGTGCATTGAACAGGATGTCTAAAGGGAAAATGTTATCCATCAGCTGTATTAAACGATGACGGCTTAACACATTTCACACGTTTGCAGTGTCATATCGTCGTGATGTCCAGGCTTGTTGAGACCACGCGTCAATTTGATCATCTCAAAATGGTGAACAATGCACGAAATTGGTTCGTGCTTTCTGCGAATGACGATCCCCTGGGGTCAGGGTAAATTTTCAAGACAAATACGCCGGTTCTTGCATCAATAAGAAGGAAACGTAACTTTGCGTAGATGACTTTGTTTTCGTACACAGTAAAGACGATATGAGGGTCGGAATAGGGGGCTGGAAGTATTGGCCAACAAGCAGATGGTGAGAGCAGGAAATCAAAAATGCATTCAAAGATCAAGGGAACGCTTTTATTTTAAAGAGGAACCTGAACTTTCGTTCGCCCTCAATGTTTCCAAATTACGTGCCGCATATATTTCCGGGGGGAAAATTTGAATACACTATATGTCCTTACCTAGTTAACTCGTGGTGTTGAGATGAGAGTGTAATATATCTGAAAAACTTCGCGCACCTTGCAAGTAGCATTCGTATTCCCGAGGATACAAGCCTACAAGAATTAGTATGCTGTCGTCACGAGATCACGTACGTTTAAAATTCCAAAAGTGAAGTTTTTCTGTACAGCTGAAATATTACGCATTCTGGGATAGAATTATATAACCTAAGGTACCCTCATTTTTCATTTCGTCCGACGAACGGTTGGTGTAACAAGCCTCAAAATCCTCTATTAAGAATCGATTACTCCAAAGAGTTATCCCTTTGTCACAGTATAATGCCTCAGGTAAAACGCTGACAGAAGACGGAAGTTATCGTAAAATGAGTACGGAATACGCATATTTCATGCCTTCTTCCTGTAAAAACATGACACAATTTATGCAATCAAAAACTGGTAATGGTAGATACTAATTACACATTCGTAATTATTTTCAAATGTACTTATACCTACGTGTCTGGGGGAATTTTCATTCAGAGAGCGAGAGAGAGAGAGAGAGCGATGACATTCCGTAGATGCCATCACAGGAGCATGTTCCCAAATGACAGTTTTACTGCCGATTCCGACGATGTCCACGTGTGTTCTCCAGAACAGGGTAGGTGCAGGCACGGTGACTTGCGCGTGAATGAACTTATAGTGATAGTAGCCGATACAATCGAAGATGCGAGTTCCAGGAACTAGTTGATCAGAAGAAGCGATCGCTGGGACAATGGCTTTATTCGCCTGACGCTTCGGATTCTCCCTTGAATCCATCATCAGAGACAGTGGCAGAAAAGGGTGGCTCGTGTACAGGAAGTCGCAGTATTTATAGGATGCGGTCGCCATGCTACCGCATACCTACAGCAATTAACCGTGCTCCCTTCATCAAGGATTGTTGCCCGCTGGTGCGCTAATTGCTTGATGGCCGGCATGCAAGTTGTTAATTGCTGACATCTCATCACTCGTGTTGGATGCTGGCGTGATGTTTGCTCGGCCATCTGGCTCACCGGCTTGCGCGCTCCTCGAGTGGTCAATTGCTTTGGCCAGTTTATGCCTCAGCACAGAATATGGAGTGGGATAGTGATAGTGATAGTAGCCTTGCGAGCACTTACCACACTCCATCCCTATCTACTTGGGCTCGGTACCATAATAGAGGCAAAAAGACCGGAGATGGAGGGGAGGGGCGAAGGCGGTTGGCGCGGCATGAACCCGTACCTAGGTGTGCCATCGGACCTCCTGATCCCACATGATCGACCCAGGATTTTACAAAACAAGATGGGATGGAGGCGACTCGGATCCTAACTGAGTGGGAGCACCATAACGGCCACGTTAAGAAGGAGTCGTTGTAACCTGACTCTCAGTCCGCTATCGCGCCTCTCTCATAAACACTGACTTGGCTGACTGCGAGGTCCGAGTTCAATCGCCAATCGACAACCTTCCAAGATATGACATTAAGGGTATCTTGGGAGTCTTAAACGTCTGTTTTTAGTAAGAAAAATGCGCTGAGACCATCTGCCTTTCTTTCTTTCTTTCTTTCTTTCTTTATCTCTCTCTTTCTTTCTCTCTCTCTCTCTCTCTCTCTCTCTCTCTCTCTTTCTCTCTCTCTTCTCACTCCCTTGCGATTACCCAAGCTGGTCAGTTGCCTGATCCCGAGAAAACTAAGTACAGCCTGTCAGGACCTGCTGTATTCCACCTGGCCCACACGAAACAAACCACAATATGACGCAGGAAGAGTAACCTACTCGAATCCATATGTAGGAAGAAGTTACATGGAGAAGGAACCGCAGATCACACTTCCCACTTACGCAGAGGCGCCTGATTCATGCCTGCGGTGTGATGTTGGACGTGTTTATGTGTTGTGCATATGTTTAGGGGGATGTGTGTGTGTGTGTGCCGCCTATTCCGCACTCCAGTCTGCTGACGGGCTCGGACAGTGACTAGGGTGAGGGAATGGGAAGGGAGAGTGAGGTCAACGACTCAGCGCATTTTCCCCCCTATAAGGAACCTGGCACGCTTGAAACTATCACTGTGCGCTTAAAGCAGTGGCTTGGAGGCTTTGGTGATCCGGTGGACCGATGCCGATGATGCGAGGGACGTTTTATGCACTGTTAGATGCCGATCGATTCATGACCACCGCCTAGTCTGCGTCGATGGTCAGTCCGAAGTTGTCGTAGAGCGGTCGGTCTTGACGTGGGCATTGAAGTCCCCATGGACAACGCTCTTGTCCGTGTACAGGTCCACGTAGAGTTTGTTCATCGACTTATCGGAACTGAGAGTTGGGGGGAGGGGGGCATAAACATGGACGGTGGTGGCGAATTTGGCTACCCGACTAGGCAGATGCAGGGTCATGCGGTGGTCGCTGCTGCTTTGCAGCAGACAGGTCAGTCGTCCCACGATGTAGTACCGGATAAAAAATATGACGCCGGCGTCGCATCGGTCTGCCTGTGGCCGGCCGCTCCAGAATAAGGTGCAGCTGGCCCACACCCACTCCAGTTGACCTTGTTCGGAGAAGAGAGTTTCGTTGAGGACAACGATGTCCAAGACAACGCCCTAGCGACTAGCATCGTCCCCCGTTCCGGTCGTTTACTCCTTGGATTGTCTGCCGGTCTGCGAGATTGAGCGGACTGGCCCTATCGACCTGTGAGAGAGGTGGGAGAACGGAAACGTACAGCAAGTGGGCTAACTCATGGAATGTCAACCGAAATTCCGAAATTCGTTTTCGTTTCGAAAACATTAATTAAGTAGGGTTGTAAAAGTGATCAGTTACCACAAGATGCCGGCTTTCGAAATAACCTCCTTCCGGCTGCATGCCGGAATGTCCAATTATATTTCATGAAAAACACGCATAAAAATATTCATTCTTTTACTCTTTCCTTCAAATTTCTACTCGAATGAAGGCTATGATTCGGCTTTAAAAAATTTAGAAATGTGAGACTTTTTATACTGTGAAATGGTCGTTCATAAAACGTCATGTTTCTTCATTTACCAATGTGGCTTGTACAGTTAACAATTTGGCTCAAATCCATTGCTAAATGTTGAGTCTCACATGATCTCCTCTAAATACCCTAGACGAATGTGGCGTTTTCCATACGCGGAAAATATACGGCTTGCAGTTTGGAAACCATGAATGTAAGTGTAACGGAAGGTCGAGTTCAAAATTATTCAGGAATTGGGGAGATTTTTGAAAACCGCACTAAAAGCTTCCTTTGAGTACAAAATTGAAAGAAGACGTAATTTTCTACTGAATGAGCAGGGGAATGAATATTTTTATGCATGATTTCCATGAAATACAATTGGGCATTTAGGGGCATCGAAAATCAAAGAGAAAAATGCATGCTACTTAAGTAGTCATTTCTTACAAAGCGCAAGCTTTGTCTGCAGCCGGAAGGAGGTTCGTTCGAAAGCCGGCATCCTGAGGCAACTGTAATATCATAGAATTATGTTGCAGGCTGGCTAGTTTTACAACCCCACTCAACTAGTCTTTTCGAAACGTAAACACATTTCGGAACTTCAGTTGACACTTCATGAGTTAGCCAGCCTACTGTAGGTTGTTGTTTGTTTGATTGCTTTGGCCGTGAGTGGTACACCTGCGGAATTAAAGGTGTGAAGACACACGCACACAACACTGGATACTCATCTGGTTTAGCCGGCCGGCCGGGGCGGTTAACGGGGTGTGTTACCTCTAGGCAGGCCTTAGCATCGGGTACCCACAGGTGAGAGTTGGGCGTCAGTCGTCACTTGCATGTTGAGACCTACCATCCTGCACGTACATCCCTTCACCCTATGTTTACAAATAAGCCTCCTTGCAGTAACACAAAGCATATTTCTCCTTCGGGGACGTATCACATTCTACAGATATTTGGAGGGTCAGTGATCCTGGAATAACCACATGGCCCAGTGCCACTACATTCTAAAATGATATTACGGTGTGAGTTTGAACATTCTCCTGACGTCCTGATAAATTGGAGTGCACCGATTTTATGTGGCTTTTTATCCGAAAACTCTGGCTGATATTTCATAAGCTTTGTCGTCAAATTCAGTGCATAAAGCAATATCCACAAGCATAACCTTGGAACTCATGATTGCCTAGAGCGTTTACGTATGGGTCTACGTCCAGAGTGCGAAGAGATCTTGGTAAAGTTCTCGTCTGCCCTTCTGATTCTGAAGATTCAGGACCTCCCCACCGACAACGTCCTTCACTAGAATGGTCTACAAGTCCCTAGGTTCATTTGATTTTGCCCCCGATAGGACTGTAGAAAAA